GTGCTGTATCCAAGCATGTTAACAGAAAGTTGAGTGGTAGGAAAAAGATGCACAACCAACCAAGAGAACCGCAGCCTTGAGAGGTTTGTCAAGCAAAACTGATTCAAGAATGTGGATGAACTTCACAAGGAATGGACTGAGGCTGGGGTCAAGGCATCAAGGGCCACCACACACCGCCGTGTCACGGAATTTGGCTACAGTTGTCGTATTCCTCTTGTCAAGCCACTCCTGAACCACAGACAATGGCAGAGGCGTCTTAGCTGGGCTAAGGAGAAGAAGAACTGCACTGTTGCCCAGTGGTCCAAAGTCCTCTTGTTAGATAAGAGCAAGTTTTGTATTTCATTTGGAAACCAAGGTCCTAGAGTCTGGAGGAAGGGTGGAAAAGCTCATAGCCCAAGTTGCTTGAAGTCCAGTTTTGTATTTCATTTGGAAACCAAGGTCCTAGAGTCTGGAGGAAGGGTAGAGAAGCTCATAGCCCAAGTAGTTTGGAGTCCAGTGTTTAGTTTCCACAGTCTGTGATGATTTGGGGTGCAATGTCATCTGCTTGGTGTTGGTCCACTGTGTTTTTTGAAAACCAAAGTCACTGCACCCGTTTACCAAGACATTTTAGAGCACTTCATGCTTCCTTCTGCTGAGCAGCTTTTTGGAGATGCTGATTTCATTTTCCAGCAGGATTTGGTGACTGCCCACACTGCCAAAAGCACCAAAAGTTGGTTCAATGACCATGGTGTTGGTGTGCTTGACTGGCCGGCAAACTCACCAGACTTGAACCCCATAGAGCAGTGGTCCCCAACCCCCGGGCCGCGGACCAGTACCGGTCCGTGGATCAATTGGTACCGGGCCGCACAAGAAATCATTAATTATTTCCGTTTTATTTATTATCTGAGTCTGAACGATCTTTTATTTTGAAAAATAAAAGCAGATGAGCTGATGGCCACTGTCAAAGAAACCTGGGGTTCCATACCACCTCAGCAGTGCCACAGACTAATCACCTCCACGCCGAAATGAGGCAGTAATTAAAGCAAAAGAAGCCCCTACCAAGTATTGAGTACATATACAGTAAATGAACATACTTTCCAGAAGGCCAGCAATTCACAATTTTTTTTTTTATGAGGTATTCTAATTTATTGAGATAGTGAATTGGTGGGTTTTTGTTAAATGTGGGCCAAAATCATAACAATTAAAAGACCCAATGCCATAAACTACTTCAGTCTGTGTGTACTGAATTTATATAATACACGAGTTTCACTATTTGAGTTGAATTACTGAAATAAATGGACTTTTCCACGATATTCTAATTTATTGAGATGCACCTGTATGCCGCATGATTTGTGAATATAAAAAGATTTAAAATTAATTTTTTACTGGGATCAGTCATCCCCCCTTTTCTGAGAACTGCCACCTTAACATGGTGGAGGGGTCTGTGTGCCTCAGTGATCGTGGGAGCTGCGATGACAGGGCCAATAGCCCCTGGCTGGATATCCGAAGGCAATCTGGCCACAGAGGAGGGGCCAGACAAAGAGCGATTCCAAAACCCCAATGAATCGAATTTTTCAGAGTTGTGTTACCTCACCTGGAAACCAGGGTCCTTTCCTGGAGCCAGACCTGGAAGGGGAGTTCCCTGGCAAGGATCTGGTGGCCAGGCCTTGACCCATGAGATCTTGTTGGGCAAAACTCAAAACGTTGCTAGTACCTGCCACCCTGTGGACCCAGTACCTGCAGAGATATAAACTGGGATCTGTTGGTAGGCAAGGTCAAAGTAGTGACCAACCGAAAGATTGAGATTACAAATATAAGTGGCCAAAATTAGTTTTCTCTACAGGGTGAATGGAGTCAGCCTTAGAGATAGGGTGTGGAGTTCAGACATCTGAAAGGAACTTGGAGCACAGCTGCTGCTCATTTGTGTTGAAAGGAGTCAGTTGAGGTGGTTTGGGCATCTGATTAGGAGGCCTCCTGTTTGCCTTCCATTATAGGTTTTCAATACACTCCAACTGGTAGAAGGCCATGGGGTAGACCCAGAATACACTGGAGAGGTTATATATCTTGGACTTGGAAAGCATCGCTGGGTGGCCCTGCTGAATCTGATGCCCCGTGACCCAACTTTGGATAAGTGGAAGAAAATGGATGGATGGAGGGATGGAATTCCCCATCCACATACAGTACATACATATAACCCCAAGATTCAGCGTAAAACAATGTTTGTTTGATACAAGATGTCCACTAGCTGAAAAGTTCAAATAACAAACAGCCTCTGGTGGGGAGGTTCTGCTTCTTCTATTTGGGGGCGACTGTGATTCAGTGGGTAGAGCAGTCGTCTCCCAACAGGAGGTTTGAATCTCGGTGCCTGCAGTCCACGTGTTGAAGTGTCCTTGGGCAAGACACTGAACCCCCAAGTTGCCCCCGATGGTTAGAGCCATCAGTTGAGTTGATGCCCCAGATGGCTGCCTCGGTTCTGTACCGGAAACAAATTCCTTGTGTGTAACATACTTGGCCAAATAAAGGTGATTATTATTGTTCAACAATTGAGGCAACACAGACATCCATCTGGGGGAAAGCAGGATGTGTGGTGTCAAGAATCTCCTGGCTTTCTCAAGAGTGCATATGGTGGCCAGAGACCTAGTTTGTAAAATCTGCTCAGGCAGGTTAATAAACTGGGCACTTGTCTGTGTGGATAACATACAGCCATGGTCCAAGGAAACATCCTCGTGAGCTAACTGAACAAGTGTATAACAGCAATAAAACAAAAATTACCTCAGTGCCCATAGGTAGGTTTAGTGTCCCCCTATAGTTCTGAGTTTGTTAAGCTGTCTGGCCAGCTGATTCATTGGCCAGGTGAATCCAGGACCCGTTTCAGTGGAAGAAGCAGGTAGACATAATAGCAGGATTAGCACATGTAATGATAATGGGAAAGAAGCAGGCAAGGGAGCAAGGATGTCCAAGCAAGTTTTGGTTTACTGGGGACTATCAGGGTCAACAATGTCTTGGTTGTCTTAGTGAGCAGCCTAGGGTTACACATCTGTTACCACATATTTGTATGATTAAAAGTGTATGTCTTGGCTGCCTGAGAACAGTTTTTGACAAAATTTCAAGGACTGTCCTAATGTGCTGTTGTTTGCTCCTTCAGAATCTCCTGTCATCTGCCAGAGGAAACTCAAATCTACTCTGAAGGAGAAGTTCCAGTGTGTGTTTGAGGGAATTGCTAAAGCAGGAAACCCAACCCTTCTGAATCAGATCTACACAGAGCTCTACATCACAGAGGGAGGGGCTGGAGAGGTCAATGATGAACATGAGGTCAGACAGATTGAAACAACATCCAGGAAACCAGACAGACTAGAAACAACCATCAGACATGAAGACATCTTTAAACCCCCACCTGAAAGAGATGGACCAATCAGAAGAGTGATGACAAAGGGAGTGGCTGGCATTGGGAAAACAGTATTAACCCAGAAGTTCACCCTGGACTGGGCTGAAGGCAAAGCCAACCACGACATCCACTTCACATTTCCATTCACTTTCAGAGAGCTGAATGTGCTGAGAGAGAAAAAGTTCAGCCTGGTGGAACTGGTTCATCATTTCTTTACTGAAACCAGAGGAATCTGCAGCTTTGAAAATTTCCAGGTCGTCTTCATCTTTGACGGTCTGGACGAGTGTCGGCTTCCTCTGGACTTCTACGGCACCGAGGTCCTGACTGATGTCACAGAGTCTGCCTCAGTGGGTGTGCTGCTGACAAACCTCATCAGGGGGAACTTGCTTCCCTCTGCTCGCCTCTGGATAACCACAAGACCTGCAGCAGCCAATCAGATCCCTCCTGAGTGTGTGGACATGGCGACAGAGGTCAGAGGATTCACTGACCCACAAAAGGAGGTGTACTTCAGGAAGAGGTTCAAGGATGTCTGGCGGGCCAGCCAGATCATCTCCCATATCAAGAGCTCCCGAAGCCTCCACATCATGTGCCACATCCCAGTTTTCTGCTGGATCACTGCTACAGTTCTGGAGGCTGTGTTGGAAACAGAGGGGGAAGAAGAGCTGCCCAAGACCCTGACTGAGATGTACATCCACTTCCTGGTGGTTCAGCTAAAGCTGAGCAATGCCAAGTATCATGGAACGTCTGAGACAGATTCACACTGGAGTCCAGAGAACATGAAGATGATTAAGTCTCTGGGAAAACTGGCTTTTGAGCAGCTGCAGAAAGGCAACCTGATCTTCTACGAGTCAGACCTGACAGAGTGTGGCATTGATATCACAGCAGCCTCCGTGTACTCAGGAGTGTTCACACAGATCTTTAAAGAGGAGAGAGGACTGTACCAGGACCGGGTGTTCTGCTTCATTCATCTGAGTGTTCAGGAGTTTCTGGCTGCTCTTCATGCTCATCTGACCTTCACCTCCTCTAGAGTCAATCTGCTGGCAGAAGAACAAACAACCTCCCAGCAGTCTGGAACAAGAGAAGGCAAATCTGCAGAGACACTCTTCTACCAGACAGCTGTAGACAAGGCTTTAGAGAGTCCCAATGGACACCTGGACTTGTTCCTTCGCTTCCTCCTGGGCCTTTCAATGCAGACTAATCAGACTATTCTACGAGGCCTGCTGACACAGACAGAAAGTGGCTCACAGACCAAACAGGAAACAGCTGAGTACATTAAAACAAAGGTCAGTGAGGATCTGTCTCTAGAGAGAAGCATCAACCTGTTCCACTGTCTGAATGAACTGAATGACCGTTCTCTAGTGGCGGAGATCCAGCAGTTCCTGAAATCAGGAAGTCTCTCCACAGATAAACTGTCTCCTGCCCAGTGGTCGACTCTGGTCTTCATCTTACTGTCATCATCAGACAAAGAGCTGGATGTGTTTGACCTGAAGAAATACTCTGCTTCAGAGGAGGCTCTTCTGAGGCTGCTGCCTGTGGTCAAAGCTTCCAACAAAGCTCTGTATGTGTGTAAATAATTAATTGTATTAATCTTTTCATAAACACACTGCTGTCATTCAACAGGAGAAAAAAGCTAATTATTTCTTCACTGTATCTCCAGACTCAGCGGTTGTAACCTGTCAGAGAGGAGCTGTGAAGCTCTGTCCTCGGTTCTCAGCTCCCAGTCCTCTAGTCTGACAGAGCTGGACCTGAGTAACAATGACTTGCAGGATTCAGGAGTCAAACTGCTGTCTGCTGGACTGGCGAGTCCAGACTGTAACCTGGGAATGCTCAGGTTGGGATTCTTCAAATTGTTCAACTAATGACCATTAGAACCTTTTACTATTATTAGTACTCGAGTAGACACATCAGTACTTTAAGTACTTTCACACCTGCATTTCATTTGCAGCACTCCCAGTCAGTGGACCAGTTTGCAAACTTGGGCCGTTTCCCTGGTTCGGTTTCCTTTCACAAACAGAAAAATCCAAACAAACCAAAATACTACAAATCACGTGGCAACATTCCCTTTGCTCACTGGTTAAATAAATCTAGGGCGGGAATGGGAACATAAACACAGGAAGAAGACCTGTGTTCTCTTCCAGTGAATAGTCCTATGAAATGAATTTGCTCTGCAACATGAAGATATAGCATAATCAGCATTAGCTTAAACTATACCAATGAAACACTGAATATAATTTGAGAAAATGTATTAAAAATAGAGTACTGTTTCATACTTTGCAAAGAAGACATGCAGCCCACAGTCAACTGAGTAGAAAAAAAGGGAGCAAATATCGAGCTCAAATTTGCATTGCACTCCTTGTGGTTGGTCCAGATCGAGGTCAGATCACATTCACATCACAAAGGAACTGTTCCAGAGTTCATTTGGAAATGTACTGAAACCATCTCTGGCAAAGGGTCTCTGTATAGTTGTTTTGGTCTGCACCTGAATGCGATTGCTTTGCGCAAACGATCCGCACCAATGGGGAAAACGAACCAGGGTTTGATTTAATTGGACTGAACAAGGCAGGGCTGAAAGCACCCTAAGACTTTCAGCCATGTATGTTGTCTTGTGTGTGTTCAGTCTTTCAGGTTGTCTGGTCACAGAGGAAGGCTGTGCTTCTCTGGCCTCAGCTCTGAGCTCCAACCCCTCCCATCTAAGAGAGCTGGACCTGAGCTACAATATTCCAGGAGACTCAGGATTGAAGCTGCTGTTTGATGGACTGGAGTGTCCACACTGGAGACTGGACACTCTCAGGTACGCCGGGGCCTGCTGTAGCCACAGACAGTGTCTGATAGCGGAGCAAGAGCAGGAAGAGTTTTCTCTGTCTTTTTGCTTCATGGTGGATATGAGTGTTAAAGTGGAAAGCATGGGATGAAATATAAGGTTTAAGTACATCAGACAGGTATGAAGGAGCATGACCATATAATGTCAATCAAACTTTATTGCCAAGTATTATTAACACAATACACAAGCAATTTGACTCTAGCTCAATGGCTCCGGATGTGCACAAATAAACAGAATCAGAAGCAGATAATGTATAATACAAGATTAAAAATGAGCTATTTAATAAGTAAAATAAATACTGTAATGTCTGCTGCATCTTGTTATACATATAAACATGGTTTAAGTGTTCGTCAGTGTGATGGCCTGGGGGAAGAAACTGTCCTTGTGTCTGGTTATCTTGGCGTACAGTGACCTGTAACGCCGTCCAGAGGGGAGGAGCTCAAACAGTTTGTGTCCAGGGTGTGTGGGGTTTGCAGAAATCTTCTCTGCCCTCCTTTTGACCCGTGAGGTGTACAGGTCCTCCATGGAGGGCAGCCTGGCACCAGTGACTCTTTCTGCCGTCCTGACTGTCCGCTGGAGCCTGTTCCTGTCCTGTTTGGTTGCTGAGCCAAATCAGACAGTGATGGAGGAGCAGAAAACAGACTTGATGATTCCTCTGTAGAACTGTATCAGCAGCTCCTGGGGCAAATTGAACTTCCTGAGCTGGCGCAGGAAGTTCATCCTCTGCTGTGCCTTCTTGGTGACAGTGCAAATGTTTGATGATCACTTTAGGTCCTGGGAGATAGTGGAGTCCTTCAAATTCCTAGGCTCCACTGATACAGTGCTGCTGAGTACGGTGACGGGGGTAGGGTGGGGGTAACTCTTCCTCAAGTCCACCGTCATCTCCACTGTTTTGAGCGTGTTCAGCTCCAGGTTGCTGCAACCACACCACAGGACCAGCTGTTCAGCCTCCCATCTGCAGGCCAACTCGTCACTGTCTTCGATGATGACTGTTCTGTTATCTGTAAACTTTAGGAGTTTAACAGAGGGTCCCCAGAGGTGCATCGTTGGTATAGAGAGAGAACAGCAGTGGGGAGAGCACACATCCCTGGGGGGCACCTGTGCTGGTAGTTTGGGTGCTGGATGTGGTTTTTTCCCAGCTGCTTCCTATCTGTCAGAAAGCTGGTGATCCACTGACGTGTGAGCAGGCACAGTGAGCTTGGTTAGTTTGGAGGTGAGGATGTCTGGGATGATGGTGTTCAATGCGGAACTGAAGTCCAGAAATAGGATCCGTGCATAGGTCCCTGGGGAGTCGAGGTGTTGCAGGATGTAATGCAGTGCCATATTGACTGCATCATCCACTGACCTATATGACTGGTAGGAAAACTGCAGGGGGTCCAGCTGAGGGTCTGTGATGTCCTTCGGGTGGGCCAACACTGGTCTCTCAGTTTTATCCCAGCATCTCAGTTTTATCTAAACTGAGGAGCAGGAAATTTTGCGGCATCCAGCTTTTCACAGTAGATGAGCAAGCCTATAATTTTATTATTTGAGAAGGATCATCTGCTTTTATAAGCACATACAATTGTGCATCATCAGCATACAAGTGGAAATATATTCCATGACTGTGTCTACTTTGGCCAAGAGGTGAGCTATAAAGAGAGAGCAGAGGGCCAAGAACAGAGCCATGAGGTATTCCATGTTTACATCAAAAATACTGTAGCAATATTATTAAAAGAAACATGCTGTGTTCTTTCAGTTTAGCCTGACTTTGTCCATGTTAGAGCCAAGCCAGAGAGCATCAGCCTAAGAGTATGCAATAGGCACTTTTGCACCCAACAGTTCTAGGGACTACCCCATTGCAGAGCTCCCCAAAGAACAAGATTCTTTCATGGGCTTTTTTTCTGCCTCCATTCATAGTGATAGTAGCAATGGTGAAGTAACATAACACTAAGATGGCCAATTGTTTGCAATTAGCCAACAAGCTCACAATGTTAAAGGCATTATATTACCATTAGATATTTTCTTTATACTGTATGTTGCTAATATTAATTATTTAAGGAGCCACTAACCCTCTGCAGAGGCTTCCATTGGTGGACTGCAGCTGCCCATGCCATGGTGATGTCTACTGATCTCTAATGTTTACATGGCTAACAGTTTCTAAAAATGGCAGTTAGCAGTGCAGAAGTCAGTGTACACGACATGTATGCAACTCATGGTTCCTATTGTGCTTGGAGAATACCTACCCTGGAGTAGGAACTAAAAAAGTCCCTTCAAAACAATGTTCTAAAACTCTTATTGTTCCCAGTTCCTGCAGGGCAGACATACAAAAAGGTCCTCCAGTTTGAAAGCACCTAATGGTTTATTGCATTACTCAGACTGGATCAAGGTGTGATTTCCTAAGTAAAGGTTTAACCACAACAGTTGGTTAAACAATTAAAGTTACAAGTTAACAATATCCTGCTTTGTCATTCCCATAATTGGCCAAAAATCTTTGAAAATGTTTAGCAGGTAGAGGTTGGAGGAGGCAGGTGTTAGAATCTAACACCAGCTTAGTCAATCGTTTAAGAGTTTGAGACTCGAGGGTGTTTCACCAAAGGTTGGACTACTCTTAAATTAATAAGTGTGTAATGCCCGAAGTGCTACTCTGACCCCCCTCCTCCTTTCAGGGTGGAGCCTGCTGGAGACCAGTGGTTGACACCAGGTCTGAGGAAGTGTAAGTGTGTTTTTAATGTGATTCATGAAAACAAAGCAGCTCACATTCATCCATCTTCAAACTGTCACATGACTCATTCAATAGTTCTGAAAACTGCATTGTTTTACTGTTGACTAACATTGCATACAGTGACATGTGATATACATCAGTACTCTGGAAACACTGGTATACTTGCCTCTTAAAGGGATAACAGTGTACTGGTTGTAGTTTTTCTGGTGGTTTTTATTGCTTTTATTGTTGTTTTTTATTGTTCAGAATTTGGACCTTGAGTCTGCAATAAAGTTTCTATCTATCTAACTAATTAGCAGATGACGGATCATTAACTGCAGATGTGTTGTGTCTTGTTCTCTCCATCAGACTCCTGTCAACCCACAATCGACACTAACACAGTGTACAACAAGCTCAAACTGTCTGATGACATCAGGAATGTGACCTATGTGGAGGGTGAGGTTCAGCCATATCCTGATCATCCAGACAGGTTCGACCACTGGCCTCAGCTGCTGTGTACAACTGGTCTGACTGGTCGCTGCTACTGGGAGGTCGAGTGGAGCGGAAGGGTTGATATATCAGTGAGTTACAATAAAATCAGAAGGAAAGGAAACGGTCAAGACTGTGTGGTTGGAAGGAACGATTTGTCCTGGACCCTGGACTGCTCCAGTGTTGGTTATTACAATGTCTATCACAATGGCAAAGCAACATCTGTCCCCTTCTCCTCGTCCTTGAGCTCTAACAGAGTAGCAGTGTATGTGGACTGTCCTGCTGGCATCCTGTCCTACTACAGAGTCTGCTCTGACAACACACTAATCCACCTCCACACCTTCAACACCACATTCACTGAACCTCTGTATCCTGGGTTCGCAGTCTGGACCCGGCCTGGTTCATCAGTGTCTCTGTGTTAAGTGTAGCAAAGCCTCCT